AAGGTTTTATAACCTGGAAGTCCCGGCCTTGCAGGCCAGGGTCCTTTCCGCTTGAAGTGGCACGCGCTGCGTAAACAGATATGGCAGAGAGCCCTTGGCCCAAGTTCTCTGGCATTGTTTCACCTGTTATCTCTCGACCCCTGGGTGTCGAAGTTACGGGAATACTCTGGAACGATTAACCAGGCCGGGTGTGACCTAGAAAGCTCAGCCCGTCTTAGCCTTGGGTTATTGTTGACTTCTCTATGAGCATTGGTTGCTTATGGAAGTTTATACCTTTAGTCGTTCCACTACATTAGCACGGTGTGATTGTACTATGCTCCCATACAGTACGAGTGTAGTATCGAAAGGGAACATACTCGATTACTAACGTAACCTCGAATCCCTGAGATACGGGAACGAGTACTGCGTTGCTAGCCGTGCTATGTAGCTGCACGACTCAGTCGTCGCTTCAGTCGAAGTACGAAGGCTTCAGTTCAGGAGAAAAAAGTTTTTTTCCCATATGCGTCTAGCAAGATGCAGTACTCGTTCCCGTATCTCAGGGAACCGAGGTTACGTTAGTAACAGAGTACGTTTGTACAGTAGAAAAACCATTACGCCTATGGAATAAACCCATAAAACGTGGAAACACAACATGAGTGTGTGTGTGTGTGTGTATGAGTGTGTGTGTGTGTGCATGATTATGTGGTTTATGAGGACACAAATTTGTATAATAACATGGGTATGGCACAATTTTTCAGGGGGGGGGCGGGGTATTCACTTTGAATGTAATAACGGCACCTGTTTCTCAATATTGATTTGATCTGAATTATGTAGACTAGAGTAGATATGTAGATGAAGTAATTTTAAGATGCAACGGATGCAACGAATAAAACGGGAAAAACACAAACATGAAACTTGTAAATAAAATAATTTTATATATACAATTTAATAACATATAGCCTAGTTTTATATATGTGTAGCGAATCAACTCAAAGGGGGAATATGCATAATTAATCATAACTAGTTATAATTAATGATAAATATTTAGATCCGCTGTAAGTATTTACTTGACCTCTCAGGGTCAACTGTCTGTCAATTCTATGAACGTTAATTTCCTGGTTAAAGGAAATAACTTTCTTACTGTACAATACTACACAGAGCATGTAGCAAATATCTGCATGATTAGGGACTGCGATTATGAGCAAACAATGAACAACCTCAGGTGTGATACAAGTATGACTTTATTAACTACATAAACACTTAAACTAGTCTAACATGCACATACACACACACACACACACACACACACACACACACACGCATACAGTTGGTTTAGGAACAGGATTAAAGCTTAGGAAGTAAAGAGTAAAGAAATAATTTTTTGCCCCCCCCCCCCGTGGCGCAGACGCCGTGTGTGTGTGGTCAGTGTTTCCTGCTCTTTCACCAGTAATGGGATTGTGCTCTTCAATGCATTTGTGCTTTTGAGTCGCGGCCATCAGAGAGGAAGCCATCGATCTGAAAACAATTCAGCCGTGTGAGGCCAGCGATTGGGCGGCTGAAGCTCCTCTAGACACTTATCTTTCTGCTCTCAGAGACTTTTTTTCGTGTCCTTGAGGCAGCGCAGGTCACGGAGCAGGAGAACAGGCTGGTTTGAGACGCTCATACAGCAAACCCATCATCTCACCCACCAGACACCCAGCGCTCAGATATTAAACACCAGTATGATCGACACACTCGCAGCGCTCCAGCAGGAACACCAGATATGAGGACATACAGGACACTGAATAATGACTCTACCATCTTTATGAGCTGCTTTACAGTTTCCATCAGTGATTCTGCTCTAACTTTAGTGAATCGCTGATCTGCACTGTTAGACATCATACTCTTGATTACTCGCTGACAGGAGCAGGTATGAGGAATCAGTGCTGATAATAATGAAGCATCTGTATCTCCACCAGCCTCTGGATCCTCTGTAATCGACTGCTAAATGAGTCTCTCATCTCCCTTCAGGCCTCCGTCGCATTTCAGCTGCTAAAAATACCCAGATGAGCCACTCTGCCCTTCAATATCAGAGATAAATTAACCCATTTACACAAAAATACTCCCACCGTTCACTTGATCTGTGTCAGGACTACAGCAGCTCTGCGTTTGAGAAACCATAATCTCTCAACCTCACAGAAGATCCTGGAGGAACATCTCAGCCAGGGTTATTATACTCATTATAGTTATATGAAATAAAATAAATGTCAACTGAAATAAAATACAAGAAAACTTACATTTAAGCTAGGTTAAATTTAAGTTTAGTTTAATTTGAAGTACTAAAATTACCACAACTAAATAACCTAAAACTATAAAAACTATGTAAACATTATAAAAAAATAATGAAAATGACAACTAAAATGAAAGTAAAAACAGAAAATATAAAAATAAAATCTAATTCAAAATATCAACAAAAACTACATCACTGATACTAAAATAACACTGGTTTGAACGGCACAAGATACAAAATACACAAACAAATTTATCAATTTATCAAATCAATCCCATGAGCCCTCAAATTAAGTTCATACTAAACTCTCATTTCAGTCAAATTGATAATATTACTGGATATTATGAGTCATTTGTGTCCACAAACTAAAGCTAAACACACACGCAGTGACCCGACCTTTGACCTTTAGCGACATTATCTCCCTGACTTTTGACCTCTAATGTTATCAATTCCTGATCTGAGAGCAGCAGGTTGAAGGAGGCACATCTACAGACCAGAATTTCACAGAATTAACACCCTAGCAACCACACACCACACCCTAGCAACCATATAAAAGACTGTAGTGTTGTGACGGTGAGTTCTCAGATAAATCTAGAGCTCTTACACACACACACACACACACACATACACTTTGCATAAACACTCACAAACACAGTCTGATCTAATCAGTGTTGTTCTTTGTGTAGTCACACACACACACACACACACACACACACACACACACTATTCAATTAAACCACAGCGGTGTGTGTGTGTAATCCTTCTATTCCATTAGTGAGAATCGATCCGGCCGCTGGAATCGCTGACTAACCTGCAAGAGCTGCGTGTGTGTTGAACATGAAACACTTACACACACACACACACACACACACACACACAAACACACACAGATTAAACTCTGTTTAAGTGTTTCTGCATTATGAGTCAGTGTCCTGTTGTGTGTGTGTGTGTGTGTGTGTGTGTGTGTATGTGACAGTAAACGCGCATCACTTCAGTCCGTCTCCCGCTGCTCATTAAATGCCAGAGCTGTCAATCAAACTCCAACGGCTTTATTGTGGTGCCGAGCGAGTGATTCACCCCCCCCCCCCCC